TTAGCTATTTAATTTAAACTAAGTCAAATTTTTTCGAAAACTTTTGTACTAACGAGTAAACAGAAGTGTCACAAACAATATTATTTGACAGTTCAAGCAACGAAGCAGCTTTCATGGCTTGCTATTATTTTTTGCTTTCGATATTTGAATATCTGGTATCTGAACCTTTAGCTGTAAATATCTTTCAAAGTTCATTATGTAATTAAGTAATTTTTTCACATAGAGATACTAAAAAAACTACGCTCTTTCAGAATATGTAAAAAAAAATACAGGGTGTCATTTAAACTTTTGAACCGGGGGTGGCTGGGGGCGGCAGATATCACGTTGGAGTGGTATCTTATACACTATTAATTTACCCCCTACTTCCTTAATGACCTTCCAAAATTTCAAGTCGATATATTTTAAAACACCAGAAATAATTCCATTTAAAGTTTTCGCGCGGACACCCGGTATAGTAAGAGATAATCAATTATCTTCTCTTTATATAACTGTGAAGCTTGGTATCCCTACTTCTATTGTTAAACACTTTTTAAATCGTGTATAACTTATAACTGTTATGTATTAATACATTCACAACAATATTTAATATTATTTTTATAGTGTTTTTCCTGCCTATTTTCAGAAAAAGTAAATATTTAGCAGTAAACTACTATCAGTAACATTTTTATTGTTTGTACCTATGTTGAAATAATCCATTTCTTTTTATACATTTATTAAACATGTGGAACTGGCTAAGTAGACGTATCCATTACGTTAGGCACAATGTAAATTTTATCACAAAATTACTAGTCCACTTGAAACCTGTCATAACCAAAAAGAAATCCTGGATTGATTGTTTTATTTTCTAGAATTAGAATTCTTTAATAATTAATAATGATGGGCAAATTAAATGTGTTTTTATTTATTGTAGATTTATTATATTTTCTTATTATGTTATGTATTTTGTGTATATTAATTTAATCCTAAAAATAAAATTTTAAAATGAATTTGGTGTTTTATTTATGACCTACAAATCTGTAAATTACAAATGTGAAAGCAAATATATTTAGGTAAATAAGTGTAATTTATACATAGTATTAATTATTTAATATTCTAATTTTCGCCTATTAGACAACTTATAAAAGCTAATCATCATATCATAATTATTTAATTTTCTCAACAATCTAGACATTGCAATATTGTACAGATAGAAAGTTGTTCTTAAATAAAAAATAAATTCTAGCATTAGTTTATTAGCAAAGAAATATAGCATCCAAATTGAAGGGATTCAAAAAGGAATTGTATATGATTTTCAAGAATAGGTCAAATGTGAATTTATTTTTCATACCAGAGATTTCACCACCTCTCCTCCAGTTTTCCATTTCTAGCTAAAAAATAGATACTGAACTTTAGAAATTTCCCAATTTAAACAGTTTTTACTTTGGTTCATTGAAAAATGTACAAGTTATAAAATTAATTTAAAAAAACTGATGACTCCAAAAACGAAGAGTGATTATTTTCTCATGAAACAGATCTTGACCAAATTTATATTATGGAACCATCCCTTAGGAACCCCTTTTCTAACAAAAAAATCAGAAATCAGACAACGTAGTAAAGAATTATCGCTGAATATATACATAAAAAAATATATTCAGATGAATTGAGAACCTACTCCTTTTTTGAAGTCTGTTAAAAATAGAAAATACATTGGACATATTACCACAGTATATGGGGTTTGCACACATGATAAAAACTAAACATATTTTTAATTATGTACTTCTATTTGAAAAAATAATGTATAGTAGGAAGGGCGAGATTTAGCTTGCCAAAATGTGCTTTTCCATGGTATGACAAGCGGGAAAAGAAAATGTAAAGTAAGTACAAGAAAAATAGTTTTAGTATATAAACGGGACAAAATATATTTAAATACTGTTGCCTTAAACTAATTGTTACACAAATCACAGATTTTTAATCGAGCACTACTAGACGGGCAGTTAAATGAGTATTTTCCTCTTTTTCTAGTGACTTATTGGAGCCATTCTATTTATTTTAAGAAATTATGTTCATGTGTAAAACATTTTTTCTCTGAACCGACTGTTCTTGCTTGTCTGTTAAATAATATGAACCGATGTCGAAAAAAGATAGGGATAGTGTTAACATTAAGGTTTAAAGGAAATATAGGTATGAATATTGAAAATTAAACCTGTTTACTGTGAAGGTATATTAATTCTTAGGAGTAATTCTTTACATTGAGCACAAGATCCATTGAAACACCTGGCATTACATTGAGTGAGGATGATAAACTTATTTTTTTAACCATAGCAGTAAAGGTTGAGCATCAATTTCATTTTTTACTTTATTTGTAATTAATTTTTGAAAACATACTACGAAATTAACTTCACTAATATAAAAATCACCCGTGATCAGCTGTGAAGCGACATACTGTCAGTTGGAAAAGCGCCGTTACCAGTTTTAATCTCAGTTAGTTATATGTTTATTAGCTAACGAGAGATTTTAACAATCGTTGCAACCGGCTGTAAAAGCTAGACGGTGCACACAAACGAACGTATATTAATTCTCGTATACAGACTAACCGGTAACGTTGTGTGGCTAGTACTTATTGGTCTATTCCCGGCTACGTCATACCTTTTAAAAAATTAATAACTCTGCCAAATAGATAAAAAAAATTTTTTCTACGATCGTGCAAAAAGTGACTATTTTTTACTCTATATACTGTGCCAAAAGTTTAATTTTTTGCACTAGTGCAAAAAGTAGCTTACTTTTGTGCACTAGTGCAAAAAAGTAACTTATTTTTTGCACTAGTGCAAAAAACACTTCGAATTGTCAGTCAATTTTTTGGAAAAAAAAAATAAAAAAAGAACACAGCGGCGGGAATCGAACCCGAACTTCTCCGGTGGGTGGTAAACATCTTAGCCGTTAGGCCATCATGGGTTTTAAAGAAACGTTTCGTAAACCAAAATATATACAGTCACTTTATTACTGGAATTTGTGATTAAATTTCAAAAAGTAGAAATATATATTTTATCTACCCTTTTGTTAATACCAAATTCGCTTGTTAGATAGGAAAGAAATAAAATACAGAATTGAAAGATTTTTTACTCTAATTTTAATTAATACAAATATTTCTTAATTTTCATAGTTACCTATGAATTATTTTGTAAATACCCTGAACTGTCAGAATATTTTCGTGTTACATCCAGTTACATCTGGAATGCGTTTAGAAACCACGCACGGCGCGTCTGGACCCTATTCTAATGTATGTGGTGAGAAGCGCCGTGCGGGGTTTCTAAACGCACTCCTGCGTATTTGTCTCTGTGTGTGTCAAATTAATAGTTTAAACATTTATTAAGTTGTAAAGTTATTAAAAATGTTCAGTTCGGATAGTGAGGAAGAAACTCAGTTTCTGTACTCCTCCAGATTTAGTGGAAAGAGCTAATGAAGTAACGGCAGATTTACTACCCAATAAATCAAAAAAAATTTATGAAGTATGTTATAAACGGTTCACAGAATGGTGTGAGACTAAATCTGTTGGAAATATTACAGAAAACGTAGTACTTGCATATTTAAAAGAAAAGTCGGAAATACTGAAGCCATCGACTTTGTGGTCAGAGTACTCAATACTAAAGGCTATACTTTTAATAAACAATAATGTGGAAATTCGAAATTTTCAAAAATTAATTCCTTTTTTAAAGAAGAAGTCGGTAGGGTATCGCCCCAAAAAGTCCAAAGTTTTTTCAAGAGAGCAACTTGATAAGTTTTTAGTTGAAGCTCCCGACAGTAAATATTTAATGATGAAGGTAAAATATAAAAATAATCTTTTTTTAACTTTATACGTAGGTATTTTGTTTCTTTTAGATAGTTGCAGTATTTGGGATTGCAGGAGCATGCCGCAGAGATGAGTTACAGAAACTTACTTTAAATGATATAAATAACATGAATTCTATCATAACAGTAAAAATTCCCGACAGCAAGACCAACAAACCTCGATCATTTGTAATAAGCGGACAAATTAGATCCTTTAATTTTGTGGAAATGTATCGCAAATATGCATCCCTCCGTCCCCAATCAACAAGCCACAATAGATTTTTTATTAGATACTATGACGGAAAATGTTCCGTTCAACCTGTTGGTGTAAACACTTTTGGCAAAATCCCAAGTGATACTGACAAATATTTAAATATTGAAAACCCAATGGAATACACGGGACACTGCTTTCGCAGATCTTCTGCAACCTTACTAGTAGAATCCGGCGCAGATATATTAACTTTGAAACGGCACGGAGGGTGGAAATCCTCAACTGTAGCTGAGGGCTACATTGAGGAGTCTATTTCTAAAAAAACAGAAATAGCTGCTCAAATTCTTGAAGGTCAACCAAGTACCAGCACCGGAAGCTTCACAATACGAAAAAGAGGTGTTTCAAATGAAGAGCCAGTCAAAAATGAAACCAAAATTCAAAAAATTCAAAATATTGCTGGAAATGAAGTTTTTCCGTCACTAAACATAGTAAACTGCAATAACTGCGACATTAAAATTGAAATAAACTCAAAAAAGTAAAATAAGAGATGTTTGTTGTACCTTTTGTAAAATATTCTAATAAAATTTGATATAAGAGTATATTTTATTTCGATCGTAGAAAAAATATTGTGTGCAACACGTGCAAAAAGCATATTTGTTGCACTCAGCATGATTGCAGCTTTCGACTTCGTCTCAAGCTGCAAACTTCATGCTTCGTGCAACAAAGATACACTTTTTGCACTAGTTACACAAATAACTATTAATGTAGCTTTATTTTGAACTGTATGTTTTCTTTCTTTATAATTAATAATCAATAAAAGCCTTTATTTTTTTTTATTATTATATTTGAAAATACACAATTTAAATATTCATTATTGTCGCTCACCATTTTCTCTAATACATGTGAATTTTTTTAAATATTCTATTTTATTGAAAATCAATTTGAACGGCTTTAGCTCTTCATACTCATCTCTGTAATTTCATTATTAAGGTCCATATTCTTTATAATCTTGATCGTCGTGTCCTTTACTCTTATTATTTTCCTCAAACGTGTTCTCATCCCTGTCCTCGCTTTCCTTAAACGTATTCTCATGGCTATTTTCTCTTTCTTTATTTTCCACGACATTGGTTTTACCGAAAATTCTATCAATCTCAGCATCGATATTAAAATTTTCTTCATTATTTACATCAGTTTCTTTGTTATTGACATTTTCCTCAATCGTTTTCTTATGGCTATCCTCGCTTTTTTTATTTTCCACGACATTGGTTTTACCAAAAATTCTATCAATCTCAGCACCGATATTAAAATTTTCTTCATTATTTACATCAATTTTTTTGTTATTGGCATTTTCCTCAATCGTTTTCTCATGGCTATTACCGAAAATTCTATTAATCTCAGCATCGATATTAAAATTTCCTTCATTATTTACATCAATTTTTTTGTTATTGGTATTTTCCTTAATCGTTGTCTCATGGCTATCTTCGCTTTCTTTATTTTCCACGACATTGTTATTACCGAAAATTCTATTAATCTCAGCATCGATATTAAAATTTTATTCATTACTTACATCAATTTTTTTGTTATTGACATTTTCCTCAATCGTTTTCTCATGGCTATCCTCGCTTTCTTTATTTTCCACGACATTGGTTTCACCGAAAATTCTATCAATCTGAGCATCGATATTAAATTTTTCTTCATTATTTACATCGTCTGGTAAATATTCTTCTGTTCTTTTTCTGATCGAAAAAGAAGTCGATATGTTTACGGCCACAAAAAATATCAGAGAAAAATATATGGCTTTATTCATTTTTATACGATATAAAGCGTTTGAATAGTAAATGTCTAATATATTTATTTTGATTTCAGGTAGTTTAATTTATCACAATTTCCTTTTTAAAGTGGAATTTATCTGATTTTTGGTCAGGATTTCCCCTTATCATTATCCCACTTCCTTACGTAGTCATAGGCGTTGGATGGTGCAATTTATTAAATTTAATTTTAACAAAAACACCAATATACAGAATGTTTCAGTATAAAATGTACATACGTTAATAACATTAGGCCAGTCAGTAAAGACATACTATTTTGAACATTTCACATTAATAGTGTTCAAATTTTGCAATAATAATCGGTTAGTTTAAATAACACTAAGTTTACATTTGCAACCATTTCCAAGGTCCGGAACTAGTTAATTTATAAATTTATAATGTTGAGAAAAAAATTGCAAAAGTGCTGCAAACTTAAAGCAATATATTTTGTATTATTTTCAACATTATATCTGATTTGCAACTTTTTTGAAAGTCCGGAACATCATTTTTTTTTTTTTTTGTAAAATAGCGTTTTTGTTTAGATCATAGACAAAAAAATTGCAAAAGTGCTGCAAACCGATGGCATAACTCATACAAGTTTTTTGGAACAGCTATTCCATTTTGCTATTTATTTTCCTCTAATTTCGTCAAAAAAATGCAATAGTTTTGAAAATTGGTTGCAAATGTTAATATTATTTTTCTTAACAATCTGGCAAATTTACAACCTCAGACAAGATCCGGAACTTTGAAAAATTAACAAAAATCAACAATTCGCACATTTTGCAGTTACCAAAAAATTTGATAAGTATTGCAAATTTTATAGAACGATTTAAGGTGATTACAGCACCCCCTTATAATTTTGGCACAAGGATATCTCAAAATGTAATTTTTTTTAGAAAATTTAAATTTGGGCAAAATAAATTAGGCAATAATATCTAGAATATGCATATTTTTTAAAGTTTTAATTCTTTTCAGTTTCCGAGAAAAAAAATCAAAGGGCGTTAAATTTTGAAATATCATAATGAAAATAAATGCATTCTTCAACAGCACTATTCCTAATATAATCCCCAAATTTAAGCTCTTAATCTCTTGTTAATGATTTTTTAAAATTCGCCGAAATTAGTGGCTAAAACGCCTCGTTAAGTGCTTTTTTCTAGTGTAACGCGTCTGTAACTTTCGTATCGTACACTCTGAGTCATCATTCGTTTCTTGCAACGATTTACACCAGTTTAAACCAGAAAATAGCACTTAACAAGGCGTTTTAGCCACTAATTTCGGCGAATTTTAAAAAATAATTTACAAGAGATTAAGAGCTTAAATTTGGGGATTGTATTAATAATAGTGCTGTTGAGGAATGCATTTATTTTCATTATGATATTTCAAAATTTAAAGCCCTTTGATTTTTTTTTTCGGAAACTGGAAGGAATTAAAATTTTAAAATATATGCATATTTTAGATATTATTGCCTAATATATTTTGCCAAAATTTTAGTTTTTTAAAAAAATTACCTTTTGAGATATCCTTGTCCGAAAATTATAAGGGGGTGCTGTAATCACCTTAAATAAATTTTGCATTGCGAAATTAAGAGTCATCTTCCAACCGATCCCTTACTTAAAATTATCAGGGGGGTGCGGGTCGTTGCAAATTTCACACTTGACGAAGGCAGGTCAGTAGATTATTCATCCCGTTGCTACTTAAAGCACTATTAGAGCAGGTATCGGTAACTGCTATAGCCCGAACTGAAACTATGTTTTAGTTTCAAAGAATTAAATCCAGAGGGCGCTGTACACATAATTTACAAAAATCCACAATTGACGGTGGAAAGAGTGGGAGTTGGGGGAGGACTGTCACTTGTCATTTGCATCCATTACTAGTGTTTATTGTGATTAATATCATAATATCATCAATAATTATAGTTTAATTGTTTGTATTTGGGAGTGTCCTGGATCCTGGATGAATAAATAGTAAGTATTTTCTAAATTATTGTTCACTGTATTGTCAACTTGGTCTTGTTCAATTGTGTTTTTAATTTCAATTTGTTTATTTGATCTTTCTGACAATTGTGAGCTTATTTTAAATTTTTGTGGTGATTTTTTGTTTAAAAGTTGAAATATGCCGTATTGTTGTATGCCGAATTATTTTGTATACACTCTGAGAAGGCATCGTTTTCCCAAACCCGATCCTAATAATGATTTATTTCAAATTTGGGTATTGGCTGTTCGCAGTCCGTTTTTTCAATAATAAAACGGCACAACAAATTCGTAAAAACCTCTTGAAGATAAATTTAAAGTTCCTGAAATTCACAGTGGTTTAATTGTTGAAGCATATCCAACATTATTCCTCTCAGAATCGGAAGTTCTGTGTCTTGATCATGTACCAGATGAACTTCCTTCAACTTCGAATGATATACATTTCGAGCATGTTGATCAAAACAATTTGGTTACATATTCTGAGGCTTCAACTAGTCGTGAAGGTTTGAAACAACCTTCAGAAAAAACTACTTTTACTGTTGGTAAGATTTGCATTTTTCTCTCATTGTAGTGTCTCATAATGTTTTTTTTATATTTTTGTTTTATTTTTTATTCTCTTGGTAATGCTTACTATGTTTTTAAGACCCAAGTACCTTGTCCTTTATATCTTTTGTTTCAAATTTATAAAATAAGGCTTTTTGGTAGTTTATATCTGGCATCACAGGTTTTGAGCCAGAATAACTAAGTTATTTGACAAAATACAATATTTTACAGTGCAAACTCAAATCACATCCATGCCCAACTGCCCTAAAAACCATCCCTAATATTCATTTTTCAAATAGCACTACCTATTTTTTTTTAAATTAATGAAACAATTTTGCACCTTCATACTTGCTCTTTTTTAAGCTTTAATTCTTAAAATGGTAAAGAATTAATATAGGAATTATTTCACTGGATAACACCCAAATTTTATTAACATGTTTAAATAAATTTAGGAATGAACACCTTGTCAAATCACCTCCAAGGGATACTCGAATTGCATTTGAGATGTTATCTAATGAATTATTTCCTATATTAAGTATTTTTTTACAATTTCTAAAAATAAAACAAAAAAAGAGCTAATTTAACAAAAATTAATGTTGGGAGAGGTTTGAGTTCATCCTGTTAAAATACTTTTTCATTCCCTATATACCATATATTTAAAAATGTGAAATAAATAGGAATATTAGCTGGCCAATTTGTATGCCCCTAGTTTTTTCATATTTTAATTATATATAGTACTTTTTGACGAATTTTTATTAAGAAGTAAATATAAATTTCATACAAACAAAGAATAAAAACTTTCAGTACACTGATCACATTTGAGGCATGGATCATTAATAAATTTCATAGTTTGTTTGTTTATGAGGGAAGTAATAGTCACTCTACCTCACTTTCCTGGCTTCCTAACGCATTTTATTTTTATTTATTTAATTTAGATTATAGTTTTTTTATTTTGTTCTAGTACGAACTTTCTTCAAACCGTTTGGAGTGGAAGAATTGCATAGTGGAAGCCAAAACAGCCTAATCAGGAAAGTAATAGTCACTTTACCTTTTTGTATTCATGCCTCACTTTCCCTGTTGACTAACACATTTGATTTTTATATTGATTTAATTTAGATTGCTACTTATACTATTTTTTATTTTGTTCTAGTACGAACTTTCTTCAAACCGTTTGGAATGGAAGAATTGTACCGTGGAAGCCTAACCAGGGAAGTAATAGTCACTTTACCTTTTTGTATTCATGCCTCACTTTCCCTGTTGTCTAACACATTTGATTTTTATATTGATTTAATTCAAATTGTTACTTATACTGTTTTTTATTTGTTCCAGTATACACTTTCTTCAAGCAGTTTGGAGTGAAAGTATTGCATTGTGGAAGACAAAACAGCCTAGAATAGAATAGAATATACTTTATTTGCTTAAATAAACTCACAGCAGTTTTTAGCATCGTCAAATATCAGAAAACAATAAAATTTATATATACATTACATTTTATATTTATATAGAAAACAATTTGGTGACGTCAACTTGACATTTTAGTTAAGAAATTTTTCGTGTTGCAAAATTACTTAAATCAGCCCATAGCCCTCAGAAGGTCTAGATACCGCATCGTAAAAACATTTTGACCCCCCATATGATGGGCGCCATGATAAATAAATGTCAATAAATTTTAAGTTGGCACTACTAACAAGACAGAATCGGCGCAAGTTTAGTAATAAGCATAAGATCAGCGTTCGACGTATATAATCGATTTTATTATCTGTTGTGTTGTTTATTTTGTTCTTCTAGTAAAGGTTTTATTTAAAACATTATTTTTTAGTTTAGTCGTTTAGTGTTTTATTTTAATAAAAAACATTTGTGGTTTGGTGTTAAATTTTTGCAGGATTTTCAAAATCTCTTATTGTTTTGTACCTGAATGTAACAATGCATCTAACGGTAGAAGATACAAGGAAGGAGTAACATTCCATGTGAAAGTTTTCACAAAGATTTGTGTATTTACAAAATCAAATAATTTGTATGTTTCGTTGTAGTATACCAAAAATTTTTAGGAAAGAATAACTGATAGCCATAGGAAGACCATTGAATCATTTTGTGACTTTAGTATAAGTCAAGTCCAGAAAATTTGGGGATACTAGCTGAAACGGCAAATGTGTTATTGGCTCATTGTTAGTGACCTATGCTATTGTACAATTTTTCCAACACAATTTTCCATGATCCTTTAAACTTGGCTGCACCGTACTGATGAAGACCAATAGTCAGAAAAACGTGTCGACCGTTACTTCTTTTTTACTTTTTTTTATTCGGAAAATGTCCACTATTACTACCTTGATACAACTTTTTCTTCTGATGAAAATTTTTTCAGAATATGGTTCTGTCTTATTTTATTTGCCCATGTACAACCCTTCATAGCTTACTTGTGTTTATTTAAATTATTTGTGTACAACTTAATTTATGCCATTGTAAATTATAACCAAGTAATTTTACAA